CTAAAATATAATTTAGCAATATTTTGTTTACTTTCCTTGTTTATATTTCAAGGTTTTATTTTATTTAGTTTTATATGTTTAAAACATTTTATTTTGACAAATTGATGAAATTGATACGTAACGTAAGAAATCCCGCCCGAAAATACGCTTGTAATTGCCCGTTTGCGGGTCATTACGCAATGGACTATAGCTTAGAAAATAGCATCCTTCAGAAATACACCGTAGCGTGTTGTCCATATATGATCAATTTTCGCTACGGTCAGATTCATTAAGGTCGAATCTGACCGTAGCAAAAATTGGCATATACGGCATTCTGATTGGTTTGCTACGGTCAAACGTAGCAAACCAATCAGAATGGGGCAAATGCTATAGTTTGTCCCTACGGGGCTAAATTGCAGAATACCCGTCCACTAGTTATGTCATATCATGTAGCCACTATTTCACTGGATACGCGGTCAGAACTTGTTAGTATAATATTTCACTGGATATACACGGCAGAACTTAATTGTTAATATATATTTATTCTTAATAGATCAATAATAAATAGATTGATAGATCAAATTCTCATATTACAGGTAGCGATATATTTTAGTGGATACGCGGATACGTGGATACGCAGTCAATTTTATATGGTTAAGCAATCAAAAATGGTCAGCGGATAAAATAATTGGTTGACTGCGTATCCACGTATCCGGGTATCCACTAAAATATGCAGCTATCTATATACCATGAGCATTTGATCTATTAATGCTAAACTATAACTGTATGCCTCGTTCTCAAAATAACTAACTCACTGCGTATCCATGTACCCGCGTATCCACTAAAATATACAGCCACCTATATATCATGAGAATTTGATCTATTAATGCTAAACTAGAACTGTATGCCTCGTTCTCAAAATAACTAACTCACTGCGTATCCACTTATACGCGTATCCACTAAAATATACAGCTACCTAAATACCATGATAATTTGATCTATTAATGCCAAACTAGAACTGTATGCCTCGTTCTCAAAATAACTGACTCACTGCGTATCCACGTATCCGCGTGTCCACTAAAATAAACAGCCACCTATATAACATGAGAATTTGATCTATTAATGATAAACTAGAACTGTATGCCTCGTTCTCGAAATAACTAACTCACTGCGTATCCACTAAAATATACAGCTATCTATATAACATGAGAATTTGATCTATTAATGCTAAACTAGAACTGTATGCCTCGTTCTCAAAATAACTAACTCACTGCGTATCCACGTATCCGCGTATCCACTAAAATATACAGCCACCTAAATAACATGAGAATTTGATCTATTAATGCTAAACTAGAACTGTATGCCTCGTTCTCAAAGTAACTAACTCACTACGTATCCACGTATCCGCGTATCCACTAAAATATACAGCCACCTATATACCATGAGAATTTGATCTGTTAATGCTAAACTAGGACTGTATGCCTCGTTCTCAAAGTAACTAACTCATTGCGTATCCGCGTATCCACTAAATTAAAAATACACAGCCACCTATACACCATGAGAATTTGATCTATTAATGCTAAACTAGAACTGTATGCCTCGTTAGTCTCAAAATAACTAACTCACTGCGTATCCACGTATCCGCGCATCCACTAAAATATACAGCTACCTATATACCATGAGAATTTGATCTATTAATGCTAAACTAGAACTGTATACCTCGTAGTCTCAAAAAAACTAACTCACTGCGTATCCACGTATCCGCGTATCCACTAAAATATAGAGCTACCTATATATACCATGAGAATTTGAACTATATTAATGCTAAACTAGAACTGTATGCCTCGTTCTCAAAATAACTCATCCACTGCGTATCAACGTATCCGTGTATCCACTAAAATATACAGCTATATCTATATAACATAAGAATTTGATCTATTAATGCTAAACTAGAACTGTATGCCTCGTTCTCAAAATAACTGACTCACTGCGTATCCACGTATCCGCGTATCCACTAAAATATAGAGCTACCTATATACCATGAGAATTTGATCTATATTAATGCTAAACTAGAACTGTATGCCTCGTTCTCAAAGTAACTAACTCACTGCGTATCCGCGTATCCACTAAAAGATATAGCTACCTATATACCATGAGAATTTGATCTATTAATGCTAAACTACAGGGTGTATCAAAAAAAGTAAGACAATTTTGAAATTGCTCTCAATTCCACAATTCTGTTCATGAAATTTATTTTTTGATATGTATGAATTGCTTGAGTTCTTAAATTATGGAAAATATGAAACATTTTGAAAATAGTAAATTTTGCTATCCAGGGGGATGGTCAACTTTTGCTCTCCTAAAAGTGGCTTGCGCACGGAAATAACAAACGGTATTCTTTATTTGAGTTCATGTATGAAAAGTTCGCTATTTGTTGCATTTATGATAAAATTTCGGCAGGATTTTACCGAGTACAAATCCTCCGAAAAGACTATGAAAACGTTACATTTTTCTCCGTTAGTGCTGTTCTTTCTTCATCATGAATTCACAAATTTGCATTTGCATTTTGATTTTAAATGAGTCATGTTAATTATGTATCTTAATTCTTTAAGTAAATAAAACTTTGAAGTGAAACTTTGGCGAACCAAGTTTATGTTGTTGCTACGGAGGAACTCTGATACCATAAAAGCTCTCTGCTGTGGGGTAAATTGTGGCATCGCCATTTCAAAGTGTACGGGGTATTATACGAGAAAAGGCATTTCAGTACAAATAACTCGAAAGCACAAATTCCATGGAAATTCCATGGAACTCTCATGGGTGTAAAAATGAATTCATAATGAAGCAAGAACAGCAACAACGGAGAAAAATGTAACGTTTTCATAGGCTTTTCGGAGGATTTGTACTCGGCAAAATCCTGCCAAAATTTTATCATACATGCAACAAATAGCGAACTTTTCATACATGAACTCAAATAAAGAATACCCTTTGTTATTTCCGTGCGCAAGCCACTTTTAGGGGAGCAAAAGTTGACCACCTCCCTGGATAGCAAAATTTACTGTTTTCAAATTTTTTAATATTTTCCATAATTTAAAAACTCAAGCAATCCATACATATCAAAAATTACATTTCGTGAACAGAATTCTGGAATTGAGAGCAATTTCAAAATTGTCTTACTTTTTTTGATACACCCTGTAGAACTGTATGCCTCGTTCTCAGAATAACTAACTCACTGCGTATCCACGTATCCGCGTATCCACTAAAATATAGAGCTACCTATATACCATGAGAATTTGATCTATATTAATGCTAAACTAGAACTGTATGCCTCGTTCTCAAAGTAACTAACTCACTGCGTATCCACGTATCCGCGTATCCACTAAAATATACAGCTACCTATATACCACGATAATTTGATCTATTAATGCTAAACTAGAACTGCATGCCTCGTTCTCAAAATAACTGACTCACTGCGTATCCACGTATCCGCGTATCCACTAAAATATGGAGCTACCTATATACCATGAGAATTTGATCTATATTAATGCTAAACTAGAACTGTATGCCTCGTTCTCAAAGTAACTAACTCACTGCGTATCCACGTATCCGCGTATCCACTAAAATATACAGCTACCTAGGCTATATACCATGAGAATTTGATCTATTAATGCTAAACTAGAACTGTATGCCTCGTTCTCAAAGTAACTAACTCACTGCGTATCCACGTATCCGCGTATCCACTAAAATATACAGCTACCTATATACCATGATAATTTGATCTATATTAATGCTAAACTAGAACTGTATGCCTCGTTCTCAAAATAACTCATCCACTGCGTATCCACGTATCCGCGTATCCACTAAAATATACAGCTATCTATATAACATGAGAATTTGATCTATTAATGCTAAACTAGAACTGTATGCCTCGTTCTCAAAGTAAAATCTAGTGTGATTGGTCAGCTGATTAAAACATCGTATCCATGATGTTTGAAAGGCATAGCTTAAAAAATGGACGGGTATTCTGCAATCGCTCCTGCCACGGTGGCATGAAATTGGCTACTGCTCCAGAACGATGGAATATCTGATATTTGTGTTTGGCTTATCAACAACATGCTATTGGGAACCCACAGTACGGTTGTGCGCATTTCGAAATGAAAGCCGTCGTAAAGCTAATGAATATATATCGTCGAGGTAGAAATAAAATCAGATAGTATCAGTAAAACGAATCATTTCCAGTCAGGTAAGCCTTATGAATAATAGCCTAAGAGATGCACATTAATATTTTAATTTGAGTTTTTACTGCATAGTGTTCGCTATTAACTTCGCTTTATTAAAGTGTTTGTGCGCGTATGTACAGTATACCTGCATGTATTGGATTAATACGCGAATTATGATATGCGCGTATATATATCGTGTTTTATAGCGCCCTAATATTTGTTTGTATAAATGCGTATATATTCGTAAGATACACGTATTCGTATGATACGCGCGTTCATATGATACGCGTATTCGTATGATACACGCGTTCGTAGATGATACGCGTATTTCGGTATTCAATTGATAATGATATGCGTATGATGCGAGTATCATACCGGTATCGTATGTTAAGATATACGCGAGCGATACTTTACATTTTGAGATCTTTCCGGCTTATTTTTGCTTGAGAAATGAATACAATGAGGACAAATTTAATGGTCACATGCAGTGCTCAGAACGCAGGAAATGGCATTTCCGGGCTTCAAATTTCAAAAAGTTTCCGGGGGGAGGGGAGGGGCATGCCCCCTGACACCCCTAGCTATGCGGGGTTTTTGAAAATGCTACGGTCAGATTTTTGGCTGGATCCGCACCTGACCCTTATATGGGTATCATGCAATTTTAAATTTTGCACGCCTCCAAAGTAACCAACTTCGTTCACCCATGTGATGTCAAAATAAAAAATGATAAATTTCATATTCTTCACCCTTTTTATACCTCCGAAAAATGTAACAATGGCAATTTATACAAATAATATTTATATTCACATATCTCCTTAACATAGGGTAAGTCTGTATAGAAATTTTCTTCTTGATATTTTGTATATTCCTCCAATGCATCTATATATGGTAAGATTGTATCATCTACATAAAAAATATCACCATTTTCAAACCAAAATTCACCATATTCATCACAATTATTATCCCAATCAACTTCATGAAATTCACCTAACACATACAATTTTAAATGAGATAAAAGTAAACAATCGACAGGTAACAAAACATCCATACTTAAAGTAGCAGCAGAATCAGTAGGTAATGAACACAACATATTTTTATTTATTCTTCAAATTGCATAAGGCCTACTTTTTTAACTTTATCACAATCATAAAATATAATCTATTTAAAATAAAATAAACTAAACTAGATTTTGCTTCAAGATAAGTATACAAAAAATAGTGCAATTCATACATAGGCTACAATCCTTAGTTTCAAAATAATATGTTGTAGACATTTATCTACCTTATGCGTGTCTCATCAATACGTGTTCAAACATAAACGGATCAACATAATCTGAACATACAACATTTCGGTTTGATGTATCTGACATGGGGATCAAAACAGGATCTGGAATCTGGGGTGTAGGGTCTTGGGGGGGGGGATTATTCGTGGTTGTTGTAGCGGTGGCAATGGACCTTCGTACGCTACCTTTCTTAACTTATCATAGCCTGCATCTAATACATAACCAGACAGGGAATACCGCAACCATTCACAAAATCTTTATGACCCTGATAACCTATCGTATAGGGTTTATGGGCTATTGCTTGCTCTAATAACATTAAAAATCGTGGTGGATAATCATAACAATCTTTACATACAAGAATATGCTGTAATGATTTACGAATTTTTTTACCTGTATACGCAAATCGTTTAGTAATCATTTTACCACTACTTTCTATATATTTAAAATAATATAAGTTCGAATCGTGCTGAGTTAATGTATAACATCATCAAAGCAGGATCTTCCGTTGTAATCTTCATTAATTCCTTTGTCAAATTGCGTAGACCTATATATAAAACCACAGTAGCATATACACCATGCGTTCTACCCCAACATTCGGCGCAACCGACGTGAAAATATGTTTCATCCAAACGATATTTTGAATCCACCAATATCGAAGTACACTGAACCACACCGATACTGTTTCTAAACAATATTTGCCAACAACAAAAATCAAAAGGTATAAGATAAAAGAAACATTGATCACCATCCTTTCGAACTATTAAATTTTTTAACCATTCGCGTGGAACATTGTGAAAACTTAAAAAACCATGAAAATATACAATGGCTCGCCATTTTCCCAAATCACACGTATAATCTACAGCTATCAAATCACGCACATTGTTAGTATGACCCCCTAACCAGGGTTGAGGGACTTTCCAACACTGTTAATTTCAAGGAGTTATTTTAACTCCACCATAGGAGTTAAAACTACTCAACTCGGGAGAGTAAAAATTGTGGAGTAAAATCTACTCCCAAAATAGAGTTAAAACTACTCCACTTCGGCGCGCATTCTACAATTTACTCCATCAGGAGTCAATTTAACTCCGCTGGAGGAGTAAACTAAACTCGCTTTTAGGAGTAGAAATTATGGAGTAATTTGTAC